TGTATATGGCATGTACAGTCTTCTCCTGATTGGCTTAGCAGTTACATTGGTGCAAAGTCACTGCATGTGTGCATATGTAAAATGGAATTAGAGTCAATAGAAGATAACTCTGAGTAAGCTTTGTCTGTATAACAAGTGTCCAGTATTAGATGTGTCATTTATTCATTCGTGGGCCCTTGTCTACTAGCTAGAAGTAATGTTTTCCAGTTATTGTTACTACAGTTGCCCTCATTACCATCCTTAAATACTGAAAAATCACTTGCCTAGAATGTTTTGGAGATGGAAGTTGGGGGATACAGAGTATTGCTACATAGCTCAGGATAGCCTCAAACTCATGATTCTCCTGCCTCACTCTCTTGAGTTCTGTGATTACCAAAGCCCAATTCCATTTTAAAGATTCTGACTTTTATTTAGGTGAAATGGGAAACCATTAAAGAGTTGAGCAGACATAGCATCATGGAACTTCTGCTCTCAAAGGCACATAAAATAAACAAAATGTAATACAAAAAACCAAAAACAGCAACAACAACAGCAAAAAAAACCCCAAGCAAACCAGGATTTGGGGCTGGAGAGATGTTTCAAAGGTTATAAGCACTTATTACTCTCACAGAGGACCTTCCTGCCTCTGCCTCACAAGTGTTCATATTTTATAGTCATATACTATAGGTGAGTACTACTACTTTATATTCTAGAAATCAACTAACTATACATTCTTGGAATCTCAATTTGATAAATGCTTATTATGACCAAGGAGTTTATTGAAGGCCTAGCTAAATTCTATATGCTAATATCTTGTTCAAAAAGTTCATATCACTGTTTTGAGACATTTGGGCCTGTTAATTTTTTTTCCTTATAATATTTTTGACAGATTTTAACTTAATAAGCAAGCCTGGCCAGATACAGTTGGCATAAGCTTCTGATCCCAGCATACATGAGATAGAGGCAGGCGGTTAGAACTTGAAGGTCATCCTCAGCAACAGCCTGTCTCATAAAACCAAACAAATAAACAAACAAACGTGGAGTGTTACTTGGGAAGGGCTCTCTACTTCTGATATCCTTCTGTTCCCAGGGTGTACTCTCTAGAGTATCATCCGAGAGCATGGGGTGTTCCATAGACCTTTTTTCTCTCATGTAGTTCCTAAATCCCTTACTGAAGTTAAAATGCCAAAAACTCACCTTGCTTATTAACAAGTTTTTTTTGAATTGTTGATTTTAGAGGGTTTATTTTTTAGCTTTTATCTCCCCGTGAAACAAATACACACACACACACACACACACACACACACACACACACACAATTTCACTGGTAGGGTGGGCCTAAACATACAAAATAGTTTGCTATACTTTTGGGGTACATCAGCCGTTGGTGATCATTGTCTGAATTTAGTATTATTATTAATTCATTCAGTTGCAAAAAAGATCAGGCAGTGGTGGTGCACAGCTTTAATTCCAGCTCTTGGGAGGCAGAGGCAGGTGGATCTCTGTGAGTTGGAGGCCAGCCTAGTCTACAGAGTGAATTCCAAGACAGCCAGGGCTACACAGAAAAACCCTATCTTGAAAAACCAGAGAGAGGGAGGAAGAGAAGGAGGGAGGGAGGGAGGGAGGGAGGGAGGGAGGGAGGGAGGGAGGGAGGGGCAAAAAAAGTGACTGAGCAGGTGGCTTATTGGGCTAAGGCACTCACCACGAAACCAGACAAACCCGGAGTTTGATTTCCAGGACCTACATAGTGGAAGTGTAAGAGTCACTTTTATTTGTCAGATGTATTTGTCATCTTGGAGGCTTACTGCTAAATAAGCTCACCCTTTCTAGTTCTTTCTAAACTCTGGCTGGCTGGTTTAACTCAGCTGTTCTGGTTCAAACTCCTCTCCAAGCTGACTGATTCAATCTGGCATCTCTTGGCTTCTCACTGAATTGCTTGGGCTGGAAAAACTGCCTCTGATTTGAACTGAACTTCACTGACTGCATGAACTCAGTGAAACTGAACGCTGCATCGCCTGAACTCAACTCAGCTGCACTCACTGAACTGCCCTCCCTTCCTGATTCACTCTGTGCTGCTCCTAAGTGGCCTCTCTTTCTTCTGCTGTCTCATGTGAGTTGGGCATTTCCTATCTCTGACTCATTCTGTCAAATTTTTCTGATTCTTCACTTTATCTGCCCCTCAATTAAATGTCACTTTCAAACATGGTTGCTTCCTTCTACAAACTGGCCTTACCTTCATTGTTAGCTATTATGTATGTACTAAGGGTATGTCTGCATTCAGGCCGGATCATATGGACCTAGAAGGTCTTTCTTTGGATGTGATTACCTTCCCAAACAGCCATGTCACTGGATTAAAATTTCTCTACATGGAAGGAGAGAACTGATTCCTGCAAGTTGTCCTCTGACCTCTATACTTGCACCATGGTACATACATGTATGCATGCACGCCTCTCCCTACACCTACTACATACAGAGGCACAAAAAAGTGTACTTTAAAGAAAGAAAACGGGGGCCAGGCAGGGTGGTACACACCTTTAATCTCAGCACTGGGGAGGCAGAAGCAGGTGGATCTCTGCGAGTTAGAGACCAGCTACACAGAGAAACCCTATGGGGCTGGGGCAGAGTTACTAAAATGGATACTGCTCGGATTGCCTACTTTGTCTGGAAGAATATCATTAAGTAAGTGCGTGTAAGAGCAGTAAACTATGAGCCATTACTTAAACAGGACAGTTACGCCTGTGCTTTAGCAGAGAGGTAGTGTCAGGTAATTGAGAAAGACCTGGGCTCTCTTCTTGATTCTGAGAGTTTACTAGTTAGTAGGACTTAAGCTTCTCATTTAACTTTATTGACAGTTAAAGGAAAAGTTTGGATCTCTCAAGTTTTTTCCAGTACTGAATTTCACAATTATATTTAATAAATCTGAGTGTGTCATGACTGACTGAGTTGGAATTTAAAAGTTTTAAAGATGAGAATGTTTTAATTTGACGGGTTAAAGGCACATAGCACTTTGACAGTGTTTCCTGTACATTTGTGCACTGCATTTGCTATATGAATATTATCTATATATGCATAATGCAGTTCTTTTTTTTTTTTTTTTTAAAGATTTATTTATTTATTATATATGAATACACTGTAGCTGTCTTCAGACACACCAGAAGAGGGCGTCAGATCTCATTACAGATGGTTGTGAGCCACCATGTGGTTGCTGGGATTTGAACTCAGGACCTCTGGAAGTGCAGTCACTGCTCTTAACCACTGAGCCATCTCTCCAGCCCCATAATGCAGTTCTTTATAGTTTGTTACAAGTGTGTGATGATTGTGTTGCTTCTTGCTGCTGCTGGGAACTACTTAGGCTTGCATCATGGATAACATTACCAAAGTGGGGCCAGAGGATCTAAGTTTTAATTTTTTTTTTTCAAGAAAGGGAAAAATGTTTTAATTCACGAAGGATGCAATTCCCCATAGTAGTTGTCTAATGCACATTTTTATGAATAAAAGTTCCTTACTCAGAGAGTTTGGCAAAGGCATAAATAAAAGAAATTCCAGTGTCAAATATTTCAGACATTAAGGCATAAGTCATTTGCAGTTTTTCAGTGAGATTGTGTCTCAGAGAAGAAAAGAGACCTTGAAATGATGTTTGTTTCAATTGGCATGTTTTCTCAGTCCACTGACACTCGGGGCTGATTTCCATTTCTACATTGTAAATAGATAACACCACTAAGGGTCAGCACAATATAAAATATTTTTATTCTTTGCTTTCTACCAAGTCTTCTTTCTTTGTTATTGTTGGCATAAATAGTCACATGTGGCCTTTTGAACTGGTTGAGTTACATGGTAGAATGAGAATGATTAGAACATCTTGTATTCATTTCTAGAAACTCATAAAGGCCTACCTACCCTCTCATTTTGTTATATAAAATGGAATCAGAGATGTTAAATAAGTTGGAGGCAGTAATAATAATTAGCTTAAGAAAAAGAAAATACAAGTGTGTATGTGCATATGTAGGTATACATACACTAGCAAAAGTATGTGGACATATATAATATATACACGTTAGAGAGAAGGATGTAGGGAGATGCTACCACAGGCTCAAAGAAATTAAGTTATGTAAGCATTTTATGACTTATGCTAATGATTTTGAAAATTTAGTGAGCTATGAGTATTCTAGATTCATATATTGTTAAAATTGCCTAAAGCAGAAAAATGAAAGTTGAATAAACCATGAGTAAAATGAGAAAGCTATTTTTAAAAATTGATACTTCTCTAAAGGACTAAGTAGAGATGGTCTCGTGGACCAGTGTTTCCAAACCCTATAGGAATTATATCTATAGTATTTAAATATGTTGAAATAAGTAGAAAACATGGACAGTTTTATATGTTAATGAAATTGACAAAAGTCACACCTTGCTGTCGGGAATGGTTGGTGATGTGACCGCAGAATACAGTTGTCATGTCCTTCATGTTAAAGAAAGTGTGGCCCTAGCAGGTCGGTCACTCCTGGACAGATGCCCAAAGGAAGGAAAGCAAGAGTTCATATAGATCTGTATACACCAGTCTTCACTGCAGCTTTATTCACAGTAGCAAAAAAGTGGAAACAAGCCAGGTGTTGGTTTTCAGAGGACTAAGCAAAATGTAATGTATGCAGTGAGCTACTATTTGGAATTGAAAGGCATCTGATGTGTAGTACTCCATGGTGAATCTTAAAATATTAAACTAAGTGAAATAAGCTAAACACAAAGAACAAGACTATGTAATTTCACTTAAATGAAATCTCTACATTAAGCTAGTTCTTAAAGATGAGAAGATTAGAAGTTACCGTGAATTGAGAGGTAGAGAGAAAGGAGGAGCCATTGCCTAATAGTTGAGTTTGTGTTTGAAATTATTTTAAAAAGTTAAGGATATAAATAAATGTAAACAGTAGCATTTTAAATATAATAATGCTATTGAATTGAACTTTTATAATTTTTTTTACCATTTCCTCTGTGTATACACATGCATGCCTATGCACACAATACATCTGCCTCTGCACATGCCCGGGGTCACCATGTGAGTCCTAAGGATCAAATTCAGATCTTTAGGCTTGGCTGCATGAGTCTTTTCCCACTGACTTATCTTGTTGGCCTCTGAATTATACTCTTAAAAATTGTTAAATTGTGTCTGGATCACTCGGTGGTTAAAAGCACTTGATCTTGCCATACACCCAGGTTCAGATCTCAGCACCCAAGTGGCAGCTCACACCCATGCAGAACTCCAGTTCCATGGGTTCTACTGTCCTCTTCTGATCTCTGTGGTTACTAGGCGTGCAAGTGGTACACATACATTATGCAGGTAAACATTCAGACACATAAACGTGTTTTAAATAATAATAGTAGTGAGCATATTCATCCTTAGCCAGATTGCATTTGATCAATGTGAGTTTAACTGTCTTCTGTAAAAACCCTGAGTCAAAGTGCATTCTCCAGACACTTACTTATGGCAGGTGAGGAGTGAACGTGGTACAGACCCTTCAGGAACGAAGGTAGTAACAGTTTCTTATAAAACCAGACATACGAGTACCACATGACCTAGCAATACGCTCTTCAACTATGTTTTCATATCAGGGTAAGGGCCTCTGGTTTCTCATAAGTATATGTGATGCTAGCTATGAAGTTCATGACAATCGATCAGCTTTCAGGTTCAGAGGTTATTGTCTCCACTGTTCTACTGAGTGTCTAATGTGGTTTTCTTATTGTTAAACATTTTGTGTGTGTGTGTGTGTGTGTGTGTGTGTATATATATATATTCTATTTTTTTTAGTTGAGATCTTCTATTTTTTTATTTCAAGACAATTGACCATTGATTCTTTGAATGCTTTTTTATAACTGCTTTAAAATCTTTATGTTGGTAACCATAGATTATTTTTCCCCAGAGATGAATTAAATGCATGATTTTGACATATGCCAGCTGAATATTGTATTGTAAGACCAGGTACCTATTTCAGTCTTTTTTAAGGGAGAGCACCCGAGGATATAGCTTAGTTGGTAGATCACTTGTCTAGCTTCATAAAGCCACAGGTTCAGTCCCAGCGCTGTGAGGGGATATAGTAGCACATGCCTGTAGTCCCAGCACTTGAAAGATACAAGTAGGGTTAGAAGTCAAAAGTCATCCGTAGCTACATAGTAACTGTGACGTGTCATCCACTTTTTTTTTTTTTTTTCGGTTTTTCAAGACAGGGTTTCTCTGTGTAGCCCTGGCTGTCCTGGAACTTACTCTGTAGACCAGGCTGGCCTCGAACTCAGAAATCCGCCTGCCTCTGCCTCCCAAGTGCTAGGATTAAAGGTGTGCGCCACCACCGCCCGACGTGTCATCCACTTATAAGTAAATAGCTAACGGTTGTTTTTTGTATCCTATGTCATAAGTAGGTAACTACATTTGTTTTATATCCCGTATCTAAAAATGCATAGGACTAGAAGTGTTTTTCAGAACGTTTAAAACTACTGTTTGCATGCAACCATAGTAAGATATCCTATGGATAGAGTTAAAGTCTAAGTGTAAATATTCATGTGTCATATATGGCTTATACATATATTCTAAAGGTAATTATATGCAGTATTTTTAGTATACCTGAATTTTGTCTATGACTTACAACATGAGGTCATGTGTGGACATTACTACTTGGGTTTCATATCTGTACTTAAAAAATTCTAAATTTTGGAGGACTTTGGTTTTTTTTTTAACTTAGGTATGCTAATTGTATCCATCAAGTTTTCAAAGCGTGTCATATGTACACCACCTGTTGGTTACAGGGAACCTGGGAAATGCTCTGTCTGTTGGTTGAGCTCCGAAAGGGTTTGATATACCAGTTATAGGAGCAGATCCTTACTTGTACAGTCCAAGGTTAGCCCAGGACTTCAAAAGCAAGTCAGTGGGATCAGTTTCCCAAGTTTTGTGCTCCTTAATATTCCCTTCTTGGATGTCTCCTACCTGGTTCTTTCCTTCTCCTCTTTGGGGTAGAATTCCCTGTGGTGCATGGGTAGAGGTCAGAAGGCACCTTCCCAGCTGAGCCGTCTTGCTGGTCCTGTTAGTCCTTTTTATTGCTAGATGAGGAACTCTGTCTTAGCATTGTTTTTATGTGTGCAGAGAGAGGAATTGAACCTCACTTAGGTTACTATGCTACTGATCGCATAGGTTCGTGTAACATTTAGTCTATCAGGTGCCTTTTCATTTATTCCCCTGATAACTCTGAAATATTCTAAATTTTATTCCTATGAAAATACTGAGTGAATAAAATTAAGATTACCTTCATTTTTCTACAACAGCTGGGAGTTTCTTGAATACAGAAGTTTACCTCTTTGTCATCAGCTGTCTACTAGATAATAGCTTCTCAGTAAACACCAGTGGGCTGACTGACTGACTGACTGACTGACTCCTTCCTTCTCTCCACAGTACCTTGGCCATGTAGAAGTTGAAGAATCAAGAGGAATGCACATCTGTGAAGACGCCGTAAAAAGACTGAAAGCCGTACGTATTGTATGTATTTGGTGGTTGCTGATACTGATCTATATTCTGTTAACGGTCTCTTACAAGATTGTGCTTACTGAGTTTTACTCCCCCAGTATCCAATAAGAACAGTGTGTTCTCCCAAGGGAAAAGATGTGGGCTTACTGAAAAAAAAAGAACATCTCATTTTCTCTATTCAGAAGTACAGATTGTAAAGACCAACCTTTTGCTCTTACATTATCCAAAATGTGCCTCTCACTTACTGTGGTCCATAAGAAACAAGCAGTTTGAAATCTGATAGGAAATATTCTAAAACCAGCCAGAAATGTTACAGTTAACTTGTGATACCTAGGTTATACACGATTAATTTTAAATCTCTATGAAACAGCTCTCCCGGGACAAAAGTAGAAAATGCCCGTGTGTGGCCTGATGAGGTTTACTTTAGGAGGGATTCCTCATTATCCTCACACCACCATCTATCTTTAAATCCCTGGGACACAAACAACCTACTTTCTCTTCCTTTTTTACAAACTTGAAATGGACAACTCCTTTTCAGGATGGATAATGCTTTCTTCGCCTGTTACACCATAGAACACACACTACATTCATAGGTGTGTATTTAGTAAGGGAGAGGAAGTATTCACACTTGATAAAAGATGAGGTTGAAGTGTTAATCCTGTTTTCAGTACGCCTAAGGACTGTCTGCCTCGTAACTCTTGAAGTCCTCTTTACAGCCTGCCTTCTCCCCCATGTGTAGCCATTCCCACTGTGCAGTAGAAGCTTGAAGCGTTATGTCTGCATGTGCCTGTCCCCAGCAGCATTGATTTCATGTCACTTTGGGTTTGCTAAGTTTGGCTACTAATGAGTGCTTTTTATTTCTCAACTGGCTTAATAACCAAGACCTTTCTGCTTTATTGATACAGTTTATGTTACCTCTTCTATTCCCTCATGTAAAATTTAAAAATATATCAAAGAGATAGATTCATTTTTGGAATGCCTGAATCTATTGTAGAAGGAAAAGTAGGAAAATAGGTAAGTGTAGAACACAAAACCTAGCAACGCTGTGAACAGATGGTACATGTACAGACACGTGTATGCATAGAACCCTCTTGTCTCAGGTCTTGGACATTTGAATTCTTAAATAATAGAAGCCCAGGATGCTCCCTTGCACTCGTCAGTGTAAGAGAAGAGGACTTGTGTCTGTGTCCTGTGGCCCATGAAACGAGCTTTGCAGATTGACTTTCTGATATGACTGTCCCTAATTAAATACAGGCTCAGATAATTTAGTTTTCCATTTTTATCAAAACTACTTTGAAAGAGAAATAAAAAATTTAGATTTTTTTTAAATAAAATAATGCTCCTTTCCTCTAGAATAATGATAAACTATATGAGTTTAACTAAGGATGCTTTAAAAATAATTATTTAACCTTCTTAAAGAATGTTTTTCTTTTTTTAATAGTTTCTTTGTATAGCTCAGTATGTAGGCCAAGCTAGCCTTGAGTTTCTTATCCTGCCTTACATCTCTAGTGATGGAACTACAGGCATGAGCCCCCATCCCCAGCCTAAAGAATATTTTATAGCATTATATTAATAATGATGAGAAACAGCAAACAAACCAGGAAATGGGAGGAGGGGACATGATTTGGCAGTTAAAGGGCTTGCTGATCTTGCAGAGGACCCACATTTGGTTCCCAGCATCCTCTGAGGTGGCACTCGGCTGCCTGTAATTTGAACTCCAGGGGACCTAATACTCTTTTCTGGCCTTTGAGGTCACACATACATGTGCACAAACCCACACCCAGAAACATACATAATTAAAAATAAAAATAAATCTTAATTTAAAATCCTGGGAAACAGATTAGATTATCCTTAACAAACTATTGTTATTAAAGTCTTAAAATTTACATTACTTAGGGTTATGAGGCCACTGTGGAAATATTCTTTAGAAAATCTTTTAATTTAGAAACAATCAGTCTTCTTTTTCCATGCCGAGTATCAAACCCAGGGCTTCACATGAGCCAGACACTCCTCGGAGCCATGTCTCTAGCACTGTTATCTAGTGTTGTTGTAAATTTTGGTGTCTGTCTGTTTCATTTGAGTTTTGAGACAGTCTCAACTCGTAGCACATTATCTTCCAGCCACTGAGGGGCTAGGGTCACAGGCTTAAGTCACTTCATCTGCATCTTATAATTTTTAAAACATTAGAAACAGGTCTTTATTGTACAGGAAAAATATGTTTACTGTGTAAAATACAAATGAACCTGAGATTTACAAATAGGGGTCAGAAAGATTACGAGAGAAAAGCCAGTCTAGGTGAATTAGTGCACTCCAGGTTCAGAGAGGCCCTGCCGCAAAACAATAATATGGCACAATCGAGGAGCACCCGCATTGTCCCCTGGCATATCCAGGAAACTTAGGACAGTTCTATAGACTTAACATTGGCAAATGTATTGAAAATAAAATTGGGTAATGGGTAAACTTCTTTTTATTAAGCTCAATAAAGCTTAACTATTCTAAGCCAAATGGTGGCACGCGCCTTTAATTAGTGGCAGAGGAAGGTGGATCTCTGAGTTCAAGGCCAGTTTGGTCTATAGAGCTCTAGGACAACCAGGTCTACATAGAGAAACCCTGTCTCAGAAAACAAAAATGAACAAACAAAAATGTCACTGTTCTGTAGATAAGTTATTTAGTACTATACTGAGAACCTTGTAGTAAGTAGAAAGTCTTCAGGATATTGTCTCATGACTCTATATATCCCTGTGATTTTCTTTTCTTCCTTTCAAATTTTCACTGTAGAAATACTAGGTACCTCTTTTCTTTGACAACATTCTTTTAACGGATATCTATCTAGGCTCTATAGCCCCTGTGTCTGATTCTAATAGTGTACCAAATACTAGGTTACTAATATTTTTTGTTTGTCAGCATAAAGATCATAAAGTTTTCTGAAAGAACTTTAAATAAATGGAAACAAATTTTAGGGGTATATAAGGGTACAGAGAATTAAAAAAAACTTTTAGAATATGTTTGAATGCTAAAGCTTTAAAATATGAAGAATTACATAGCTAGGATACCAGTTAAGCAGCAAAACAGACTGTCATGTGAATGACTGATAAACAATTTTGTTTCTAGACAAAATTTAAACCTTGTAGGAAAGTGAAAGTGATTTACACTTACAGTTTATGGAGATCTTTCTCCACGTGGTCCTGAGTAATATAGAATTACATTAGCTTCTGTTAGAAGTCATTAGCAAGGTTGTCATTCTCAAGTGAAGAAAGTAGCATTGGGATAGTTTTTTAAATGTGTTCCTTGGACCACCTCTTACCCTTATGTACATAAAGTAACAATTATTTTTAACTAATTTATTTTGTGACATAATTCACTAATTAGCTACTACAGAACTTAGAGTGCATAGAATACATTTTAGAAATGGCTGTTCCTTAGTTGTGTTGCCTGTATGTTACAGGGTGATGAGTATTGTCATGTAGCAGTGAGTTCTGTAGTTATTATACCACGCTTTGCCTTGCTTCACTATAATCCAAAATGCCTTTTGTTGTAAAAGGTTATTTCACTCCATTGTCTTCTGAATCAATCAATCTCTTTCTCTCCCTCCCTCCCTCCCTCTCTCTCTCTCTCTCTCTCCACCTTGGGTTTAGAATCATTTCATTGTATAAGTAGTTTTAGTATGTTAGAGTTTTTATTCACTATTTGATATATTTGTTTTAATATATGTTCTTATTTTAGCAGGTAAAAGAATCATAACTTGTTTTTAAGAGAACATTAATATTCTCTAATCCAATATCTGTCTTTTATGCATTTTGCATGTCACCTTTTTTTTTTCTTTAACATCCGGGATCTTTTATAAGAAAAAGGAAAAAAAACCCTATCTTTAACAAGAGCTTTTCTAGGAGCTGAATTAAATATTAACGATTACCTCCCCACCCCGTGAGAATGGTGAATCTAACTTTGGCTGTGTCCTTGAAGGCTGATTGATACTCATAATCTAACAAACCTAGGGCCGCCAAACTTGGCAGCAGAACCATTGTAGCCTTGCTGCACAGCTGCTTGTATTACATCATTGTCCAGCTGCAGGTTAGAGTGTCTTAGGAAACACTTGATGCCGGCTATGGTTTTCAAAACATGGGGGAACACTCTAGTGTTTAGAAACACTAAGTGAATTCATAAACTCATTTTCACCATAGTTGTCTTTTACTAGACATTTTTGCAGCAACAAACGTTGATTATAAAAAGTAAAGGAGTAAGAATGTAGTTCACCCTAAGAAGGGAATATAAAACTGGATTGGGAGAATTTGAACCTATTTACTTTGCATAAGTTCTTCAAATTTTACTTAATAATCAGCTTGTGTAAGTGGTACTTAAAAATCGATGGTAGGGCTAGCTGTGGTGGTGAATCCTTTTATTCCCAACACTCTGAGTGCAGAGCCAGCTCTCTGTGGGGTTCAGGTCAACCTGGTCTACATTGTGAGTTCCATGCAACATGGCAAGAGTCTGTCTCAACAAAACAAAACAAATTGGTGGTAGCGCCATAGATTGTTATAGTTCCCTTCTCCTGATAGTTGATAATTGTATGGTTATATCAATGCAAGAGTCTTTGCTTTAGTCGGGCAGTGGTGGCGCACGCCTTTAATCCCAGCACTTGGGAGGCAGAGGCAGGCGGATTTCTGAGTTCGAGGCTAGCCTGGTCTACAGAATGAGTTCCAGGACAGCCAGGGCTACACAGAGAAACCCTGTCTCGAAAAAAACCAAAAAAAAAAAAAAAAAGAATCTTTGCTTTAAAAGAACAGTTAAAAAGTAAACAAAACCCCTGCTGCTTGTTCCATTTGTGACCCATGAATGTAGTTTGGGTCTCAATTTTTTTTGTGCCCCAGTATAGCCATTAGCTTTAGATCCTTCATAAGTGACTTATTCTCATGTGGAGTAGACTCTGCTCTTTATCTCTGTGTATTGCAGAATAGATGAGCACATTCTAGACAGACTGGTGTTAATAGGTGGGACACCTGTGATGAAGCTTCTGTCCTGACTTAGAAAGCCTGTGGCAAAAACTGTTGATGTGTGCTCATGATTTAACTTTATGGGTTGTTTTTGTTGTGCTTTGTTATGTTTGCAGTGCCAGGGCACCAGACTCAGCCTTACACACAGTGAGGAGGCATGTCTTACCAGCAAGTTGATTGTTTGCTTTTGATCTGGAATCCCATTGTGAAGGCCAGGCTGACCTGAAGCAGCTTCTCAGGCCCTGTTTTATTTTTTCTTAAGAGGCAAGCCTTTACTATGATATCAAGGCTGACCCTGACCTCCTGGGCTTAAGAGGCCCTATCTCAGCCTCCTAAGGAGATAGGTTGATGGGCATGTGCCACCACAATGACTACCATTGATTTTAAGTAGCAAAATGTATGTAGAACTAACCTTTTATTTGTTAATATTATTAATTTTAAATGCAGCATCATGCCCAATAGTATGTCCTAATCTTTTTCTCTGCTGCCAAATTTGGATAATCTCTGTTGGAAAAATAGAGATTACTAAATTGAGTAGTTGTACTGCATGAATACAGGCTGAGTTCCTCTCTTTCCTTGGATTCTTAGGTCGTGCAGTGTGTTTCCCTGCATTTTCACGCACCTTTCCTTTTTCCCTGTCACTCCTGGTATGGATAACTCTTTAAAACTCTCATCCCTACCCCTTCTCCCATTTTTCCTTCTCTTTTCCTTCTGTATGTGCTTAATTGATGTGCACACCTGGGACATTTAGCCTATGCAATAATAGCACTCGACTTGTCCCCTGTTCCTCCAGGAAAGGAAGTTCTTCAAAGGCTTCTTTGGAAAAGTAAGTTTAATGCCATGATTGTGCTTATTCATATGAGGAGTTACACCCCAGTACAGCACTGACTTGTTAAAAGAATAAAACCTTGATTTCTTTACAAAACAGAAATAGATCTGACTATATATAAAAATTAGTTGCTGTCTATGGTATTACCTGTTTTTCTTTTGATACTAAATCTCATTTCTAGGAAAACCCAATAAAAAAGTAAGTTGTTGTTGTATTTTAATGATCTCTTTAACATCTGCTATTAGGTAAATGCTATGTGATCTTTCAAACCGGTTTTGTTAGTGTACTGTCTGTATTTTTAACAGGTAGATTTTAATTAGGCCCCAAACTGACAGAAGTAGAAAGAAATACTAGATTCAGGTAAAAATTTAAGGTACCCCAAAATTTACATTCAATATTATTTTTTTAATCTAAGTTAAATTTCAGGAGAATAAATTGTGAAAGTACATAAACTTACCTTTGAAGATTCTGCTGTGATCTTTAACCTGTATTGCTGATCTAGGAAAATCTGTTATAACTAATAGTCTACCAAAATCTGCTGCATGGATGCTCTTTTTTAAAGTACCCTTACCTTTTCTAGTGACCTTGTTCGCTGCTCAGATCCTCAGAAGTACCAGGACTGGGATGTCCTGGGATGTAGAGTGTTTGCCCAGCATTAGCCTGTATAAGGCCCATGGTTCTGTCTCCAACACTAGAACAAATAAGAGGCTAGAGAGATTGCCCAGTGTTAAAAGTGCTTGCTGCTCTTACAGGGGACCTGAGTTTGATTCCCAGCACCCACTTGGGTAACTCACAACCAGTGTCACAAGCTAACATAATCTCAGATTCTAGCTGCCACGATGCTAAATTTATATGGCATATGAAAAACTTATGATTCATTTTCATCTTTAAATAACATTTATATAGTGAGGAAGCTGAGGTTTCAGAGTTCAAATGGCTTCCTTAATTCCAGATCCAGGAAGTGATAGGAGCTTGGATTTGAACCTTGATAATCTATCTCCAGAGTCCATTCCCTTAAACAGTGTGCTCTGCAGCCACGTTGGGGTTGCACTGCCAGGCCAGGGCTCCTGTGGACTGTATCCACAGCCTCTTTACTTTCTATTCTGAGGCATGAATTATTAATTTGCTGGCCTGAATTTAGTGATGCTTCTCCTACCTCAGCTTCCTAAGTAGCTGGGAATATAGATAGGCCTGTGCTGCCGGCTTCAGTTCTCCTGGAGTGGGGGAGGTGCAAGGGGCTATTATTTTGGGGTTTTGAGACAGAGTCTCTTACATCCTAGAATGTCCTAGAACTTGCTTTCTAGCTAAAGACCATCTGAACCTCTAATTCTCCTGCCTCTGGAAGTGCTGGGGTTACCGAAGGGAGTGTACCTCTATCTAGCGCCACAAAGACTCACACATGTTAGGCAAGCACTCAACCTGCTGAGCTATATCCCTAGCCATTCATTCAACTTTCGTTTTAAAGAGTAATAGTTGTCTTTGGATTTTATTTCTAGTAAATTACTTTTTTATTATAGTATTCAAGAATGATGTTTTTTTCCAGTAGTTTAAACCAGCTCATGGAACCCAGGACCTAGAGCATGATAAGCAAAGACTGTGTCAATGAGCCCCCCCCCCTCTCTCTCTCTTTCTCTCTTTCTCTCTTTCTCTCTGCCTCTCCATGTTACCCCCCCCTCTGTCTGAGACAGCATCTTATTAATTAGGCAGTCCTTAAATACCGGAGCCTAGTCTTCCACTCATGATGTTCTTACCTTCTACACATCACCATGGCTATTCCTAACATTTCATTTTAACCTAGAGATTTTGACTTATTTGTTTGCTTATTGATAATGGGTCTCTGTTATATAGTCCTGGCTGCCCTGGAAATTGCTATGTAGTTCAAGCTGATCTTGAACTCACAGATCCATCTGCTGATGCTCCTGAGTTCTGGAATTAAAGACAATGTACCATCACATTCAGATTATTTGGAGATCTTTTTAATAGTGACCAGGTATTGTGCACACCTGTAATTCTAGCACTTGAGACACTGGGGCAGGAGAATTGCCATAAGTTTAAATCTAGCCTTGGCCATGTAGTAAGTTCTGAACTAGCTAGTACTACAAGCAAGGCACAGCTTCAAAAATAAAACAAATCAGCCAGTCAGTCCTACTAGTGACTTTTACTCCCACACCATTTTCTTAAAAACACTAAGCTATCTTAACTTGATGACCATGAACATATATGACTATACAAATTATTTTCATGGGCTAGAGAGATGACCCAGCAGTTAAGAGCATTTGTACTTTCAAGGACTAGGGGTCAGTTCCCTGCACCCAAATCATAGCTTATAACTGTTTGTAACTCCAGTTCCACAGGATCTGACACCCTCTTACAGCCTCTATAGATACTATAGATACTGTTATATGGTACACAGACATACAGGTAGGCAAAACACTCAATGTGCATTAAATAAAAATAAACCTTCCAAGTCTGTCAGTGCTTTTGAGGCCATCCTGGTCTACATGGCAAGTTCCAGGACAGCCAAAGCTATATACTAGACTTTGCCTCTAAATAAATAAAGAAACCATGCTTATGTTATGGGAAGGGCCCTTCTTACAGCAGAACAATTTTGTTATATAATTTCTAAATTATTTATTAATTACAGTAAGCCTAGTTTTATTCAAAAAGAAAAAAGAAAAAAAGTATTACTTACAACATCACTAGGGATGTGCTTTAACTAAAACACTGTTTTTTAATCTTGAGCCTTTTGGGGTTTCCAGGTGTTGTAGTTAGGGTTTCCATTGCTGTGAACAGACACTATAACTAAGGCAACTCTTATAAAGAACAACATTTAATTGGGGCTGGCTTACAGGTTCAGAGGTTCAGTCCATTATCATCTTGGCAGGAAGCATGACAGAATCCAGGCAGACATGGTGCTGGAGAAGGAGCTGAGAGTTCTACATCTTCATCCAAAGAAAGCCAGGAACAGCCTACTGTCTTCCAGACAGCTAGAAGGGTCTCAAAGCCCACCCTCCACCCCACAGTGACACACTTCCTCCAACAAGGCTACACCTCCTTTATCAAGGCTACACCTACTCCAACAAGACCACACCTCCTAACAGGGCCAACTGTATTCAAACCACACCAGGTGTTATCATTCTTTTCTTCCCTACATTAATCTCTAAGAAATAGGATGAAAAGACTTGATGTGTTACGTTTGCCAGTAGGCCATTGTTTAACAAAAGCCAAAAATTAATGTTTTTAACTTTTTTATTACATGTAGTGTGTGTGTATGTGTACACGTACATGTGCGTGTCCGCCTGTGCATGTGCTTGCACCATAAGGCACTGTCAGAATACAGTTGTCCTTTCATTACATGGGCCCCAGGAATGGAACTCTGGTCATCAGTCTTGGCAGCAAGTGCCTTAGTCTGCTAAACCTTCTCAGCGGCCCTAAAAATGAAGAATCTTATACATTAGCATTTGAGGGACCATGCATGTTGGCACATAGGTAATCCCGTCTGTTCAGGTAGAGTAATTGAAAAATTGACACTTTAGCAAGACTTTGACTCAGGCAAGTAGAAAGTAGGCATTGGGCATAGCTCAGGGTAGAGCACTTGCCTAGCATGTGTAAGGCCTGGGTTCCATCCCCGAGAACACACATAGTGGTAGGATAGAGAGTACCGTGTGTACACTTTTAACTCTAGCACATGAAGGCGGAGGAAGAAGAATCAGGAGTTCAAGGCTCATCTGCATATTAACTCTGAGGCCAGCCAGCCTGTCTCAAGAAACACAATACACATAGCAGGTGGTAAGGAGTTTTTGTTAGTAGGTCTCTTCATAAGTTATTATGCTGTCTAGCTTTGAGCCTGTATGGTTTAACGTTGCATAATAAAGAGAATAGTAATTTTTCCACCACACACTTACATAAAAGTAGGTGAAAGAAGTTAGACTTGATTTCAGATTTATTAGTCATCGCCAAGAAGCCACCTTCTTCCCCAATTTCACTTCATGATCCAACCACTCTTGCTTACCTCCACGGTGACAACAGTGCTTCCAGAAATTCCAGTAATAAAGTCAGACACATCTGATCAGTTAAAGAGCTGTACTATGAACATCTAAAAAGAAACGGAGGGGAAACTGCACCTGAGCTTAACTTCTCCCAAACTAGCTAATTGCTCTCTGCGGTCCCTAGTGTACTCAGCTTTTGAGAGATTATAATATGCACGTCTATTAGTGTAGCTGCCATGTTAAACAAATACTTTATTACCAAGGAGCTACTTGCCACTTAAACATTTGAAAGGAATTTGTAATATTAATATATTTGAGAAATCTTAGTAGCTAAGTATAAGTAGTCTCTATTCCACTTGATGAGAGAAGCAGCTCTATAGATGAAAATGTGTATGTTATTTCTTAGGTCCTTTCTCATGCCATTTACCAGTGGTTATATTGTGCTTTATAGCTTAAGATACTTCCTGACCAGATCTCTAGTTTGCTACTTACAGTAGCTGGGTGGATTGGCTGGTAGTTCATGAAACTACACTTTACCAACAAGTTCAAGAGCTTGCCTACTTAGTACATTTCCCATATGCAAAAACCTTTTCTGAAACTTGGTGCAGATATATATCATTGACCTACACCAGGTCAGTATCATCTCATTCAAAAGCACTGACTTGCTCTGCTTTGGTCTACTTTAATTATAATGAATGGAGAAGTGTGTAGCACAGAGAGCACTGCTCAAGGGTACGAAGAGAAGGTAATTTTTAGGATGTACTTTATTTTTCCTTTTGAAAGTATATTTCTGGGACTGGGAAGATAGCTGAAATCAGTAAAACAAGCTTGAAGATCTGAGTTGGAAAATGTAAAAAATGTAGGCTAGGTGTGATAGCACACATACATTGATAATACCAGTGCTGAAGAGGCAGAGACAGAAGGATCCCTGGACTCACTGGGCAGACAGTCTGGCCTAATTAGTGAGTTCCAGAGTAGTGAAAGACCTTCTCTCAAAGATGCAGACAG